CCCAACACCTCTGACACCCCACGTGTTGAACCTCGCACCGTCTCTGACGGCCCACGTGTGGAACCTCCTAACGTCTCAGATGAGCCGTACATGGAACCCCTCACCACCTCCGACGGCCCAGGTGTTGAACCTCCTAATGTCTCAGACGAGGCGTACATGGAACCCCTCACCACCTCCGACGGCCCAGGTGTCGCACCTCCTAACGTCTGAGACGAGGCGTACATGGAATCTCCCACCACCTCCGACGCCCCAGGTGTTGAACCCCCTAACGTCTGAGACGAGGCATAGCATGCGTTATTCAAAGTAGGCATTGGCCCAATGGTACTATCACTACCCAACATTTCAGAAGCATAAGGCCCTTTGCCCCTCACTCCTTCACTAGGATAATAGGGTATATAGCTTATCGTTTGTTCCGAATCTGTTCCCATGCTGTTCAGTCCTGCATTCAGTCCTGGGTCATAACGGCGTCTCAATCTTATGAAAGCTAGTCGTCTTCTATTATTATCTCTACCAAGTAAGTATCCCAGCGGGGTGAACTCAAAAGGAGGGGAAAAAAAAAAAAAAAAAAAATTAATTCATATGCAGAAGGGTAAAAAGTGAAGGAGTAAGGGTCGACCGCACGATTCACACGAACGGGTAAGAAGGGAGCCACGCTCCCCCATTCCGAGACTGAACCGACAACAAACCGCATCACTCAACCGATAACAAAGTATACCACCCCTCGTGCGCTTACCTTGTACAGCATCAAGAACCCCACGAACATCAACAGGGCAGAAAAAGACATCAACCCCAACTTGACCCCGTAGGACAAATCAGAATTGTATCCAACCCAATTGCTAAGAAACTCAATCTTAGAAGTCTTATAAGGACACTTTAGTTCGATATCTATGGGGTCCTGTACTGAGGCATCTTTGAGCTTCTCTTCACTTGTTTTGATAATTTTCAGATGCTTGAGATCTGGATACAACTTATTCTTGTACTCCTCCATAAAGGAATTCAATTCCACGCATAAAGTACTGCGACTAAATTTGGTATTTGAATTACTCGAACACTTAAGATCCTTAAATGTTCGATAAATATACAAACAATTATTTACAAATTCACAACAAGAAGGAAATAGGGGATCATGTTGAGATTTCATCAATTTTTTAATATTTCCTATATTCTGTGTGAAATAAAATAACATTGCTATATTAGCAAGCTCATAATTATTTTCATGGGAATTCTTAAAATCTTTAAAATCTTCTAGAAGTACTTGTTGTAGTTTGGTTCCGACATAATTAATGTAACTGGTCGTCTCATTTGACGTGAGATCTATATTGTCTTTATTTTTGTTAAGCAAATCTTTTATGTAATTCCACACCTTGTCATCCACTTTCATTCCTGTCCTTTGCATTAGATTGTCGGCAACGCTAAACATATTCAAGCAATTCTTATTCTTCATGTATTCGGGTTTTCCTTCCAATTGGTTGCAAACGTCTTGAAATTTGCTGTTATAAATTCCCCGCATTTTATCAAAATTGTAATCCGGCCAGTTGGTCATATATTTATACTACATTAGGGGCGGTGGGTGAACAAGGAACAAACGTAATATGTATATCTATACGTACGCTGAGAGGAGCGTGAGATTTGGCACACGCATTCATACATTTGTGAACCCCTTTCAGATGCACACATTTTATATACATTGGTATGCAAAACGCCCCAATGGGAGCAGACATATATACGCGGGACATGCAGCAGATGTAGCGGGAGACACTCCGCCCTCTAAAATAACCCCACACAACAAAACGAACCTCCTTCATCATCGCCTTCACAATCCCCGTGTCCTTCAATAAATACTCACGCTCCGTTCCGTTCTTCATGGTGGTAGATAATATCACAATATACAAGGGGAGGGTGGTGTGTACACCAGGAAGGTCTACAAGATATGTATGTTGGGTATGTACGTCAATTTCGTATGCCGGATTCTCAAATTAGGCCTTCTACATATGCAGTACTAAAATCAGCTGCGTAAATTGGACCACCAAATCTGACATACAAAAGAATACACAAATAAGACCAAGTCAAACGCCTAGGTTATTATTTTCATTGCACCTTCTGGGAATACTCACGGAAAAAAAAGTCTACCCTGCGCTCATACGAGGTATAAAAGTTACTCAAAAAAAAAAATAATAAAATAATATATTAAACAGGAGAGTATGTTATAGAAAAAGCATTTTTTTTCCCCCTTCATTTTTCAGGGGTCATCAAGTTTTGTTCATGCAACGGGCCCAAATGCCACAATACCAAAATGTGACCCTAATAAATAATACGTCTCGAAGAGGTCATGTTTCTTTCTCTTCCTTTCGGTGTAACAACACAATAGGTATAAAAAAAAAAAAAAAAAAAGCTAAAATGATAATCACACAGAAATGTATATATATATATATATATATATATATATTATAATATAACAAACATGTATGGTATTATTATGCTACAAAAAAGAAGCAACAATAATGCTTTAAAATGAAACCTAATGAAATGTTACAAGGGTTGAATGAACAGTTAGGGAGCGGCGCCAAAAAAAATTCAAATAAAAATTTGTTGTGTTTATCTTGTTTCTCACATTTTAAATATAGTAGTTTTTTTTTATTTTTAAATATCTACATAACACACTTATTTAATTATTAGCCAAAAAAAAAAAAATGTACCTAAGCATCCTCATGTTTTACACCCACCTGCTCCCCTTCCTACATAACCCTTTGTTTTTTGTATAAACTGCTGTTGGCTAAGACTTGTCGTCCTTTTTTTCACTCTTCTAATTTGTATACATATTTGAAGAATTATATTTTACTCTTCCTGATACTCAAAAAAAAAATAATAATAATAAAATCGTGAAAATAAATAAAGTTTTTTTTTTTCCCTTTTTTGCCAATTTTTAGTTTATGCAAAAGGAAGAAAAAAAAAAGAGGGGAAATATATATATATATATTCCTTAGCGAGGCAATTAATTTTTTTTTTTTTTTTTTTCTTGTTCATGTGTTTTTAGGATGTGCAATCTTATTATGGGGTATTCCCAAATTGGTCAATGAGCCATTTGTTCCACCACTAAGTAGACCCATAAGTACAACTACATGTGCACGCTTACCCACTCTCATACACGTTGTACCTTCTGAAAATAAGTGCCCCGTTATATAGTTTGCTCTCTCTTTTTAGCCTAGCGGGGGGAAAATAGGACGAACTTTTTTACGTCACCCCTCTGCGAAGGGCTACACATTTATTAACACTACCGTATTTATTTATGTCACTTCACCAATTCACAAGAAAAATAATTATTACCATGACATTATATATATTTACACTTTTCAATGTGTGCAAAGCTTTTGCAAATAATGGCACACCTCCCTCCCTCTCTCTCTCTCTACCACACATAAAAGAGAGATAGCAATGGAATAAAATTTCTTCTTTGCAAAATTTAATCATGACGTCTCAGGGGACACACATAGCAGAGCTAGTCTCCACACACCACCTACGTCTGCCTACTTAAATAGGAGCAGTGTTCAAATGGTACACGCTGAACGGTACGTAATAGGAAATGCTAAAATGCATGCACACAATTTCTTTTCCTTTTTCATCCCCACACTGGGCGTTCAAAATGTAGACATTTCAATCCTACCACGTTGGAAACCGTTTTTTTTTTTTTTTTTTGTTTTGTACAACATTTTTAACAAAAATATTTTCATATCGACTTTGAAAAAAAGTTTTGGTTAATAAAATATTAGCAACGTTGGAAGAGGGGCATTGTCAGAAGGAAAATAAATCCTCCGGTCGCTCTGTTTAGGAAGTGGGACGGCCGATCGCGGCACCCTGCAACCCCCCGACTGGAATATGTAGGTACACCTGTGCACATAGTTGTGAAAGTGAACAAATGAATAAATGCATAAATGAATAAATGAACAAATGAAGAAATGAATAAATGGAAGACTCATGAACATTGAAACGAACTAACACAGGGTCGAATCCTCCCCATCCAAAGAGGCACTCATCACTTGGCGACCTCTGCTGTCCTATGGGAGGGACAAATAATTGTAATGGCAATTTTATACACATATGGCACGCACACACACAAAAAAAAAAAAAAAAAAAGCTTAGTAAAAATGCACATCCTACACACATTTTATCATCTTGTACGAATACGTTGGCAAAATTAAACATGAACAAATATTGAACAAGTTCAAAAAGGAGGAGATATGAAAGGGAAGAAAAAGTCTCCTCTGATGTCGAGACACTTTTCAACAGTCTAGCAAATTTTATACATAAAAATTAAGCCAGACGATCAAGTGGCCAAGCGCAAAAATAATTTGAAAATTATATAAAAGCTTAGCGAATATATATATATATGATGGTATTTGAGGAAGTGCAGAGATAATCTTCGTGCATGCAAACTTGGGTTACAGTATAACTCCCTATCCCTTTCCCACTAAGGGGGGGGGGACGCAATAACAAACTTGTGTCCTACTCGAACGAGTGGAAGGTGTGGCGTTCACATTCGCTTGACGGTTCACACGCCGCCTCCGCATTCGTGGTGCTCACCAGCGCGACATACTGGAAAAGAAAAACGCGCAACCCAACAAACCACATCTGGCCGCCGCCGCCTCACCAACCTGGCACACCATTCCATTTTGCTACACGCAAAAAAAAAGGTACAAAAACATCGCGGATGCGACCACTCAACCCCGCATCTTAGATCTTCTAATGTGGTATAGGATGCCCATAACGCACCCCAGAACGAACAATCTGGGAGCTCCCAATTTACTAAAAAGAATCAACGCCGTGATAAAAGAAAATAAATACAATATAGAATCTCTATCCAACTTAGAATATAAAAAATTTAAAATTTTGTACTTTTCATTCAAAGCGTTGTTCATAACATTTGGGTGCCGAAAATCATTCCCCATATTTCTAAAGGCCCTTTGATTCAAATATCTTAAGCCGTCTTCGTAGGTACTCCATATTTCAATGTTCGTTGGAGGGGGACTGGTCATGGCCACGAGTGAGTTAAATGGTGTGGAGAAGGAAGGAGACAAAAATGACGAGCGTTGTGTTGTGGGGGAGTAAAAATTATATCCTGAAAATCTGCTCCCGCCAACTTCCTTTTCCTTTTCTGCGTCATTCCCCCAACAACCCGGAATGCTTGGCGACGATGAATTGTATTTCCCACCCATGTACTTCCCACCCATGTAATGTAACATTCTTCTCCTTCGGACCACCTTCACCTCATTTGTTCCTTCTCCCGTCCATTCAGCATAACAAGGGCCCTAAGAGCAACAACAAAAAAAAAAAAAAATATACATTTTTTTAAAATGAAAAAAAAAAAAAATGACATGGAAAAGCGCCACACCGCGATGTTTTTCCACATGTATGCATTTTTCCACATAGACAAAAATAAGTCATTTGTTTGAAAAAAAAATTAAACCAACTTTTGTCTGTCGCGCCACGGTCACACACGAATCATTACCTCACTGCTGGACCAATGCATGGCCAACAACAAAACGGTGAAGAGGCCACTTCTCAACAAAAATTTAAACCAACTTTTCACACTTCCCCTACCCTCCACATCACTACTATCGGCATCCAAGGTGGAAACACTTCCATCCTTCGAGTGCCTGCATACTTCCAAATTTACATTCCTGCCACTAGAACTACTGCTCCTCAGGTTAGACATTTTTAAAAAAAAAAATTCTTACTTTCTTAAAAATGACTTATTTATGCTTTTCCGAAAAAAAAAAAAAAAAAAGCTACCTAAAAAAAAAAAAAAAAGGCAAGATGAAAAATAAACAAAAAACAAACAAAAAATGAATAATAAAGAATGGGACAAAAAAGATAACACAGGGGTGTCATGCGCCAAGTGTCATACTCACCATTTTATGCTCATTGGTACATAAAGCAAATATGGTTATTTATATACTACTCCTTTCTACAATACAGATTTGTTCACTTATCATCGCGCAAAAGGTATTTTGTACAAACTATATATATTTACACTCATATAAAATATATCTTTTATTACATGTGGGGCAGAATGCTATTTACAATGTCGACAGGACAAACGATAAGCAAATGCAGCTACGCGAAACATGCGACTTAGAGGGAACACTTTTATTATATAAAAATAGGAAATTTTATATTTTATCATCTAGTCACCACCACAAAAACTGGCTCTTCGCACGAGAATATGTATGCCCATAAGTAAAAAAAACCGCGTAGCAGTTAAAACACAAACTCGATCGGCCCCACAGAGAGAGCTACTCTTTTTTAAAACAAATAAAGTTTTTTTACATTTACCCACTTACCGTTTTTATTTAGGTATATACAAGAAAATACTCGTGCAGCCAAATATTTTGACCATAATAAAATTTCTTTCCCTCCAGGGGGGGGAATATTATATATATATAAAATCATATTTTATTTAGTCCTTAACATTTCAGAAAAGAAAATTGTTCTTTTTCCTTTATTCAGTCTTCTCCTTTTTTCCAAAATATTTTTTTTTTTTTTTTTTTTTTTTTTTTTTTTTTTTTTTTTTTTTGTGTGACGGTGGGCTGTACATCATTAATGCGTTAATGTTAATGGTACTTACGTAATAATGATACTTAGGTACCCTTTTTACGCACCCCCTTTTTTTTTGCATTTCTTCATTTTTCCTTTAAGAGGTAATTTCGGTGAGTCCCCGAGCCCCCCAGGAGGAAGGAATACCAATTTTGACCAGACCGTGTAATCCGTCATATAGTGTACATGTGCACACGGTCCAGTGCAAACACCCTTTGTTAATTTTCCTAGCACAAATATATATGTGTATGTGTGCGTCCCCTTTTGGGTCTTCCCCTTTGCTCCACCTACAAGCCGTTTAACATTTACTTAGCCAAGTAGTTTTACACGGCACAGCGATTACACGGTACAGCGATTACACGGCACAGCGATTACACGGCACAGCCATTACACTGCACAGCCATTACACAAGATGGATCATCTGGAATCGGTGCACAACCACATCAAGGACCCCGGGTTCTTGTCTATGTTGAAGAAAAAGGCGCAAGAGAATTTGATGTCCTCAATGAACGCATCCTTTGCCTTTAAAACAGCGTGTTTCGCGGTTCTATTTTTCTACCTCGGAACGCTCTACTTGAAGAAAAACAATTTGGTAAGATGATCCGTCTGCCTACAAATACGCACACGTGTACGTGCATATTTTTACACATGCATTATTCATATGTAAATGTATTAATGTGTTATTCATTGGTGCACTAATTTTTTTTTATCCCCCGCCCCCCCCCCCGTGCAGATCTCAAGGAAAATATTCTCCGAGTCGGACCAATACCACAACCTCCAGTTTGGAAACACACATCCCACGAATGACCAAGTGGAGGAATGGAAAAGAAGCACATGGGC